CGTGACTTTAACGCCATTAAAATGCACCGTCTCACTTTGTGAACGCCAGTGAGTACCATTGAATTTCTAGTTATGCTGATATTGAAGCTGTTGTCATTTCATTTAATTTTGTTTATTATTTTTTTATTCCTAGGGTCCTCCTGCATTGGTGCTGAGACATTTATATTGAGCTTTGACTGAGAGGTTGTCAACAACCACATCACTTTCTTCACATCTGCCTGATGTTTGGCAGTTACTACTGCTTCAACACAGACTACCTGGTAAAACTGCAGTCCGCACCTGAGTTCCTCCAACGGGAACAATTGAAACACCTTTTAAAGGTGTTTCTCTTCAATAAATCCGGGAAGAAGAGTAAAAAAGTGTTATTGGTCAGTCCCAGAGTCTTGACACTGATCTCAGACCTTGCCAACCATCAGTGGACCTACCAATGATGTGATAAAAGGTACATTTGATATGATATACACTGCAGATATTTTGTTGTTAAGGTTGTGTACCTATTAAATCTGTCCACTCATTTTGCTCACTGCAATCATTTTAAAAAGAAACAAAACTAATTTTGTTCTAACTCTTTTTCTCTCTCTCTCGTGAAGGAGTTTCTTCTCATCTACAGAGGCACCAAAGTTGAGTGTAAAAAGAAGAAAATAATCGCTGGCTTTTTCAAACTGTTACAGTTTGTAAGTAGAGTGTTTCTACGTTTGATTGTGCTGGCAAAGTTGGAAAAGTTTGGTCTTCAAATAAAGAGTTTGTATTGAAAAGTACTACGGTGAATGTTTTTTGTGATTTTTGGAATAAATTAACTAATTTAACAATATTAATTCATGTGCTGTGTATGAAGTTTACAGAAAAAAGTAGGGCTGCACTACATAACGATTAAAAATGCACATCCTACATTTTCAGTATCACGCATTTACTGTAATTTTTAGGGAAATTTCTGTTTGGACCTTAATGTTCGCAAGAATCTATGGTATCTTTTACAGAATAAATTTGTAGCTTAAAATTTATACCGTTAATTGTACCGTAAATTAACCACGGCTGCCAGCATTGTACTGTTAAAATATAAATATTCCAAATATGTCAATTTTAAATTAAAACAATGTATTTTTCACATAATAGAACTTTATTTTTTACAGTAAAATACTAAAATACAAACATTTTTTACCGCAAATGAAGAAACTGTTTTACTGTAATTTTACGGCCCTTTTTCGGCAACCACGGCTGCCGGTACGTTACCGTAAAAACAGCAATTTTTTTTTTACAGTGTGAGCTACAAACATGTCAACATCTGTGAGTGAGTTTTACTTTCTCTAACCTTTTCTTTAAATGTGCTTTGTTTTAAAGGTTAGTGCAGTAGTAAAATGCTTTAACAAACAAAGGAAAATGATGTCACGTCGTAGTTCCCTGTTTTACAACAGTGTAGAAATGAAGGGTTTGTGAATGGAAACAGTTGTTCGTTGGTATGTTTTATATTTTACTGCCATCCATTAGTCCTGTGTTGCTGTTTTACCGACTACACCAGTGTTTCCCAAACCTTTCCCATACTTTAAAAGTCACAAACCTTCACAACCCAAGTCAATAGACATTATTTGTAAACTCCTGGGAAACATGATGTGAGACGACCCAAATAAAAAAACTCTTGGGACACACCTGAGGGACGTGACCCAGTCTTTGGGAAACAATGGACTACAGTGATGTTAGATTTCTGATCTACACTCAAAATACAACAATCATAGGACTAGACTTCAGGGAAGACTGAGCCGAAGAAAAAAAAAAATCCTGTCTTCCACAGCTGGTTGATGTGTTGTTGAGTTTCTCAGAGTTGACCCTTGACCTCCACTTTATAGCCTCACATCGCTCACACTGAAGCGGTTGGGAAAGGGAGTAACACAACCATGACAAAGACCGAGACAAAAAAAAGAGTGAATTAATAAAAATTATTTAAAACCAAAGTGAAGGTGATGACTGATGACAGCAGGAAGAGCAGATTACCAAAGATGGTGATGATTCGAGCAGAGCCGGCGACTCATGACACGCCGAGCTCTAACTGGACCAAAGCTCTTACTGTATGTTGGAACGTCTCAAGTTCACCAGAGGGAGGGGCGTGGCCGTGTGAAGGTGCACTCAGGGTGTTTTGCCTCATCTTAAGTGCACAATAACAAGCACCAGCGGAAGGGTGCGGGGGGGTGGGGTGATGTGAGCGGTCAAAGTGCACTTCAAGTGCTGCAGTGACCCTTATATTTAAACACATTTAATGCCCGCACACAGTCAACCATTGTTTAAGAGCCGGGCCTCTGTGATGACGTAAAGACAGGCTGCTTTGTCCAGACTCCAGGCAAACACTTGAAGTGTGTACAGCAGAGTACTACAGTGGAATATTTAAGACCCGACTGTGTACTGCAAAGACAGCAGGACCAGCTGGTTATAAATACTAATCTACTGTGTTCAATCAATCGCCATTTTTCCACTCGCCTCTGTCACGCTGTCCCCCTCTCTGTCCCTCACTGGGTTTTATAACAGTAATATAAAATGTTTTCTTAATTACTATTATTTTAGATTATCAATATATTTGTTTATATCTATGTTTTTGATGTTTAGATGGGGGGGAATTAACCCACCCATCCATCCATCCATCCATCCATCCATCCATCCATCCATTCATTCATCCATCCCTCTATCATCCATCCATCCATTCATCCATCCCTCTATCATCCATCCATCCATTCATCCATCCCTCTATCATCCATCCATCCATCCATTCATCCATCTCTCTATCATCCATCCATCCATCAATCCATCCATCCATTCATCCATCCCTCTATCATCCATCCATCCATCCATCCATCCATTCATCCATCCATCCCTCTATCATCCATCCATCCATCCCTCGATGAATCTATCAATCCATCCATTCCTCCATCCCTCCCTTCCTCCCTCCCTCTCTCCATCCATCCATCCATCCATCCATCCATCCATCCATCCATCCATTCATCCATCACTTCCTCCCTGCTTCCCTTTCCTCCCTCCATCCATCCACCCCTTCTTCCATCCATCCATCCATCCATCCATCATCCTTCCATCTCTCCCTCTATCTATCCCTCCCTCCATCCAATCCTCCATCCCTCCATTCCTCCGTCCATCCCTCCATCCCACCATCCCACATCCCTCCATCCATCCCTCCATTCCTCCGTCCATCCCTCCATTTATCCATCCATCCCTCCATTTATCCATCCATCCATCCATCCACTTGGATGTGACATAATATGGTTAAAAACACAACAGTTCTTCAGAAAATAAAACCATATGAGGGGAAAAAAAAGTCCTGAACTCTAAACCCCGTACGGACCATTAAACTCTGTGTGGGACAGAGTCAAACACCTGGACTTCCTGAGCATATTTACAGTGTAAACATGCATCAGTGAGCTGGCTCAGATCCATCAAAGCACCCTAATATTTTCTTTTAACCCAAATCTAACCTGAGACTTTATCTGATCCTGATCCTGATCCTGATCCTGTCTGTGCATCTCCAGTCTGTAATTAAACGGTGTCAGCTGCAGCCAAGCAAACAGAGCAGAGAGGGTGTCATCAGAGGTGAGGCAGAAACACCAGCAGCCTGTTCGTACCACTTGAAACTCAAACACTTGAAACTCTTCACACTGTGATATGGTCTCTCCAGGGTGTTGCTCAAGTGAGGGTTTTTTTTTTGGCAAGAAAACCTGCCGTCAGAGACCGGAGACATTTGTCAGACATCACTGCTCTTAAAGGCTGCAAGGTGTCAACATTAAAACGCATGTTGATCTGCAGTGGAATGTTTCTAGAGTGGGGGAGAAAAAAAGTTACCATTTCACTTCAGTTACTTATGGTTTATTTATGTCTGTCTGGTGAATCAAAGGAAACTGTCCATCCTAGGTGGACAATAAAAATATTTTTGAAAAATAATTGCTTGATATAGTGTAGAGAATATAGTCAATGTAGTACAGTGGAAACTCAAGATACGAGCAATTCAAGCAATTTCTTGCTTCGAGATACGAGTAAAGATTTAAGATACCAGCACGCTTACAGACGCCGACGCTAGGTGGCCGAGCACTCGGAGCAGCTGAACTCATCTCCCCCGAGTCTTCCGTATTGAGTTTGCGTTATCTACGTGATTTTCTCTCTGCTTTGTGCATTATTGTTCATCATAGTGATGAGTCCTAAGAGAGTGAGTGGTAAGGATGGTGGTGAGAAGAAGAAACACATGATGACCATGGAAATAAAGTAGGAAATTGTCAATAAATATGAGCGTGGTGCTGCTAAAGAAAGAATACAAATTGAGCAAAAAAAAAAAGTTAAGTTAATTCTAAGTCTATGTAAGTTACGTAGTGTACGTGTAAGTAAGCTACGGAATCAAGTGTCTACGTACGGGCCAACTCTCTTCCCTCCTCCTCCTCCCCCACACATGCCTCCATTAGCCTCTACTGTATCGTCTGTCTCGAAGAACTCATAATTAAAACCACATTTTATTTTATATCACAGGAATCCTTTGATACTATAATTTTTGTGTTTTTTCCACTGTTATTAGCACTAATAAGGGAATTTGTTTAGAGGGAAGGGATTCATTTTAATTTTTGTTATTTCTTATGGGAAAAAAATGATTTGAGACACGAGCATCTCGAGTTACAGGATGGTTCTGGAACAGATTATGCTCATATCTCCAGGTTCCACTGTATTTGATAGTGAAACAAACACAAACAGTGTGTTCACCTACTGTAGTTTCATCACTGTGCCACAGCTACAGGGTCCGTGAAGGTTGTTTGAAAGCATTCTTGGAAATGACTGTCTGAGGCAGGAGTTGATAAAATGATCAAATTAACCAAAAACTCTTTTTCACTAGTTGAATGAATGTTTAAGAAATAATTATTCATGACATAGTTCTGACATTTGCTTCACTGTGAGTCTTTCATTTTTCACTCCTCTTTAATGAACTCCTCTCTCTGGTAGTTGTCATCTCAGCAGGTTGATGTTTTTTTCAGCCTGTGTCAAATACTTCCTCACTGTGCATTTTCTCCTCTCCTGTAGACTCCTCTGCTCCCCTCTCTCCCTGGAGTAATATGTGTAGCAATGCCATGATGTTTACCTTGGTTCATCTCCTTTTTACTCCCTTTTGTATTCCCCCCTATTGCCCTCCCTTTGATAAATTACACGATCCACTCCCCGCTGTCACATTCATTGACACAGCTGTTTGCTTTAACTTTAAACACTGCGATTCTTACAACACTAAAAGTCTCATTAAATGAAGGAAATAAAATCACAATCACATCAGTGCAGGAACTCTCCTGCATGAGCTATGTACCCCTTAGGGGGCCCGTCCCCCACTTTGAACCTCTGTAGGCAGTAAAAGGTTTTTTTTTGTTTACGGACTGAAATGATCCAGCTGCTGGAGATCAAACATCACGTACCAGGTGTACCAGTTGTACCAGGTGTACCAGGTGTACACAGATGTTGTTAATGAACTCAGGTATTAAGCCATATGTTGTAATGAAACACCCTGCAGTCTTATGACTTGAAACTTCTTCTGAAGTCCTGGTTTTCTTGAACAGAAAATCCATGTCAGCTGTTCTTCCTGTTTGTTTGGAGCCCAGTTATAAGGTGTCGACAGGAAACGTTTACAGGCCAACCCGTTATTAGGGCTCAGTCCCGTGTCCTGCTCCACTATTAACCCACTCTTGGTTCTCTCTTGTGTTGCCAGACATTGTAAGGCTTGTCTGATTGGACCATGGCCCTGCTCTGCACTTCAGGGTGGTTTTGGGGTGCACTGGTCCTCTGAGAGAACAGAGCCGGTCATCTGGCACCCATCAGAGGGGAGGAAGAGGAGGTCGACAAGTGAAAAGCTGGTCCAAAAAAACAGGGTGCAGGAGGAGGGGAGAGAGCAAGAGAGAGTATCGGGACAAAGCGATAAAGACAAAAGAAAGATAAGGCCAACAGGGGGCGGGGCAGGACTGATGGCCTCTTTGTTATGAAGCCCTAAAATGGAAGCAGAAGGAATGTAAACGTAACAAAAAGCAAGATAGTGTTGTATTATCTGACTGTAACCGGGGTGAGTGGAGAGTGGCGGACAGGTCGGGAGATAAAAGTGCCGATGTTGGATGAAAGCTTGTCAATGTGAACATTTTACAAAGTTAAAGCAAACCTCTGTTGTTGACATTTCCGAAAAATGAAAGTTCAAGTTGAAGACAAATGATTCATGCTTTACGTCAGGTTTAAATAATGCGTATTTGTCTCATTGTCCCCAGAGGTCTTTTAGAGCCCCCTGCCTATGGACTATGTCCTTAACAGCAAGTTAAATGCAATACATTATTGTTTCCCAAAGACTGGGTCGCAAGATATTTTTTAGGGGTCGTCTCGCATCATGTCACCCAGGAAGTTTACAAATAATGTCTATTGACTTGGGTGGCGAAGGTTTGTGACTTTTAAAATATGGGTCCCCAGAAAAAAGGTTTGGGAAACACTGAAATACACAATGTGTAGCGTTGGCCCTCAAATGGCGGCCTACGGTCTGCATCGAGCCCACAAACCGCATCTTTGTCTTTCTTTCCTTTTACAGCCGCACATCGTGTTTTGGTTTAATCAGCACGTTAAAGGGCCGTCATCTGCTGTGTCAGTTGTCAGCTGACGCAGCCCCCTCTCCAAACCTCGGTCTCTTTTTTGTGTGTTTTTAACGCAGCTGAGATCCTTTGTTCTGCACAAGTGCTGCTGTCGAGGTCTTTGTTTGTCTGTTGATCAACACATTTTTGTTGCTTGACTGTTTAGGCAGAAACTTATCAACTCATTGAAAAAACAAAAACCCCATCGTGCTGACAACGAAGGCTATTTGTTTCCTGGGTGGTGGGGGTGAAAGGTCAAAGGTGGCGGTGGCGTACAGCTCAGGACTTTCTCGTCACCAGTGAAAACAGGGAACAGTGGTGGTTGTAAACCATGTGGGCCAGACTGTCAGCAGGATTATCAGGAGGCTGGTGGGACCCTCACACTGCTGGTTTCAGAAGCAAAGCTGAGGACCACCACAGTTTGGTGATTACCCCGTGACCTCTGGTGGCCTTGGGGGCCAGCGGGACTCCAGGGCAGAGTCTGAGTTTGATTTGTGTGTTTGTCTGTGTCGTTGGTCGCCAGGATGGCAGCTACTGTGCTAATAACATCAGAGGATGTAGATGTGGGAAGGAAAAGTGGGGAGAAGGAGCAGTCTGAGGATAAGACGAGGAGGAGGATGTAGATATGGTCGTGACGTCTGAATCCACCTCAGTCCACACACAGGAATGTGAATGTCTGTGTTTAGGGCTGATGACTGAGGGCAGAGCAGCCAGAGTTAGTGGGTTTATCAATAAGTGTGTGTGTGTGTGTTATCTGGGAAAGGCTTGTGTGAGGTGGGCAGCACTAATGTGCAGGAATGATTCCACAGTGGCTTTGTGGATGCACGGTGTCACAGAGAGACAGCTCTCTGCTCTTAGAAAACTAGGAAAAACCAAATATGTTTCTTTAAAACAGTGTTTCTCAAACTTTTTTTCTGTGGACCCGTATTTTAAAAATCACAAACCTTCACGACCAAAGTCAATAGACATTATTCGTAAACTCCTGGGAAACATTATGCGAGATGAGCCCAAAAAAACAATCTTGTGACCCACCCAAGGGCCGCGACCCAGTCTTTGGGAAACAATGCTTTAAAGGACTCTCTCTGCATGTTGTTAAACACACTTAGAAAACACATTCAACTGTGGGATCGTACATCTCACTGTAGTGAGGGTTACCGTCTGTACCACCTTCCCCAGGTCGTTGTCCCCTTAATGTAATAAATATACACAAAATGGTTGCTTTGAAATGATGCAGTATTTGTTACCAAGGTATTTTCTCGAGGAGTGTCGACTGTATCAGTTTGACTAAAAAGCTGCATCATGGGACAAAACAGTGTTTAAAACAACATCATTTCCTTTTGAAAATTAGAGTGTTTTTTCACTCACTGTTTTTATATGGATATTCAGTCTCTTCCTTTTTTTAGCCGTCTTCCTCCTATATTTGTTGTCTCTCCTTGGAAATGTTGTTTTGTCTGTATCACTTCCATTTAGACCATTTCTGATAAGGCTTCAGTGAAAGAGAAAACCTAAAAGGCTTCCTACACAAGTCTCCTACTTTCTATGAAAAAAACAAAAAGAAATGCACAGGTTGTAATGCATTGATGTAGGAACTGCCATCTAAATAAAATAAAATAAATTAAGAATTAAATTGAATTAAGTATGCACAGAGACATTTGATTTGGGGGTGTTTGTCCGTGTCATTGGTCACTGGTATGGTCGCAATAAAATAAAATAAAATAAATTAAGAATTAAATTGAATTAAGTATGCACAGAGACATTTGATTTGGGGGTGTTTGTCCGTGTCATTGGTCACTGGTATGGTCGCAATAAAATAAAATAAAATAAAATAAAATAAAATTAAATTAAATTAAATTAAAAAATCGGCACTTTGACCCAGAGGCAATGTCTCTGTCATTGGTGTAGAACCCCAGGGTTCACCTCCTGGGTAAGATCAAATCCTGGTTGGTACCTTCCAGTGAACTCACCACCTGCAGGAAGGTTTGGGGGGGTTGGTATGGTGCAGTGTGATTTGGGTGGTGGTCATTGAGACTGCTGCCCCCACGACCCGGTAACGGATAAGAGGATGAAAATGGATGGATGGATGGAAAATAAAATAAAATTGTGTATGCACTGAGAAATTCACAAAAACTTGATTAAAAATAGTTTATTAACCAGACAATGATCGTAGTTGTAACTTCTATGTTAAGGCTTAACACGTTATTAACTTAGCTGGTTTTCGGGGGCCCACCTCTTTATCTGTTTATGAAGGGTTCACTTCCTTCCTTAATCTGGCTGTTAAGTGTCTGCCATCATTAAAGCTGTGTCTCGACCATGGTCTGATTTCTGCTGGAGACTGGAGGCTTTGATCAGAGCAACAATCTGACTACAACAGCTTCCTCTTCTCCCTGATGTAACTGACGGGGAAGCCTGATTGCTGCTGCTGCTGCTGCTGTTGCTGCTGTGTTTATGTGTTTGTGATGTATTTAGAGGGGGCACCAGAAAAGAACAGGATACAAAATTAGACCCTTATTTAAGCTGCACCCCACATGTGACCTGGGTCGCAGACTTCCTGAGTCTGGAGTTTGGCTGACCTGACATTGGCAGATGGTAATGACCGGTCCTTTGACTCCCACCTACCTGAGTGTAATTGCTCAGTGCAGTAAAACACAAGTCTGTGTCTGGGTGTTTGCCTCAGCAAACACTCCCAGTCATGCACTGAAGCATGGAGCAGGACTTATCAGGGGGGAAATGATGTGGAAAATGAAGCTGCGAAGAAACTGAGGAGTTGTACGTTTTATTTATTTTACATTCGAAAATCTGGAATATAAACATAAATAATTAAACAGAGCACAATACCAAGAAATAACACATTTATTAGTTTGTGAACAGAACATCCCTTTCCCTCATTCTCTCTGAAAAAAAAATAATTAGGGATGTCGGATATTAACTTTTTGCCAATATTCTCATATGCTCACACTTAATTTCCGATACCGATATTTAACGATTTAGGCTAGGTAAAGCCTTTAGGCTAATATTTATTTATTTATCTGTACAAACCACTGTATAAGTATGTGATCAATTAAATGAGCTGCAATGCTGCCATCTAGTGACCTTCGCTTTAATATAGAATCGTTTATCCACAAAACTATTTTTAGGGCACACATCATTTGACAAAACCCTGGCATTACATTATCTGGTTTTCATTATTAGTGGAAAAACCGATAACGATTCTTACAGACATCACATAATATGCTAATATCGGGTCGATAATATTGGTAAATATTATCAGACATCCCTAGCTATAATTATTTTTGACACTGTTTCTGTTTTTTTCATCGTATTTATTTTGTCTAAACCTTCGGCTGATCTCTGTCTTTTCATGTCTCCCTAGCAGCCGTCGACTGTGTGGTGGGCTCCTGGGGTTCATGGTCTTCATGTTCAGCTCCATGTGGCGTTGGCAGCACTGAAAGGAGTCGCCAAGTGTCAGTTCCCCCCAGAAACGGAGGCAGACCCTGTCCAGATCTGAAACAGCGTCGGGGGTGCCTCGGAAACAACGCTGTATGCAGCACAGCCAAAGGTCAGTCACCAGGGTGAAGTGGTTCTCAGGGTGGGTGATCCTCCTCCCCCCTCTCCCCCCACACCCTCGCTACCAGCAGACCTCAATAGTTTTCCACTTTAAGCAGACATCTGTGTTGAATCCTTATCTGTTCGCAGTTGCACAACTTTGAACATCCAATGTTTTTTTTATGCTCATCCAAATCATTGGTCATAAAACAGCGGAAAGAAGTCCACGCTCTNNNACCAGGAAGGAAAAATGAAAAACAAGAGAGTGGAGTAAATGAGTCATGGAGCTGTGTTTGTTTCCGTTTACTGATACTAAAAAAACTGAACTAACATTTGCAGTTTAAACAGTTTTCACACTGTAAACCTGATATTAATTTTTGAACACCTTGACCTTCAGAGGTGGCGAAGATCCTGCCCGATTCTTTCAAGAGGAACTTCAAAGACCCTTGGAGACGACCTCACATGCTGATGAAGGAGGAGAAGGCCAGGTACGCAAACACACACACAGGAACACACACACACATACCCAGGACAGCTGAGTGCTGACCCTCAGCTCAGGCTTTTGGAGCGCACCCAGACCTCAGAGGGCGTAATTATAGCCAAGTGTTGAACAATCATGTGTGTCTGGTTCTGCAATTATGGGACGACAAAAGTGTTTAGCTTGCCAGAAAGAGACAAGTTTAATTTTATCAAACAACTTTGACCACATTGTACTCATCATCACTGCAGTTCAGTCTTTCCAAGTGGACTGGGTCTCACTTTTCCTTCCAAATTAACCTTGTTTTCATGTTGTTTTGAAAGTCCCGTTGACATCAACTTCGAAAAATGACCGAGTACCATGACCAAGCACAGAGAGGTGGATTTGTTTTGGCTGTGTAACATGAACTGCTGTCACTGAATATTAACATCATGAGGCGACCTTTACAGATAAGCTCTCAACAGTCCGTGTTAAAGGTGAAGCCTGAGTGCGTAGATATCTTCTCTGATCTGTGTTACTGTAATCAGAGAGGAAGAGAGTTCTGGAAGAGACAAGGGAATAAAAACCATTCCTTGTTTTGACTGAAACACGGGGCCTTGGGAGATCGGATGTTAGTGACTAATGAATGTGACAAATGGAGGTTCCACACGGACGGCTGCAGCACAGATGGGTAGAACGCTGCTCCGTTCTACTGAGGACTGACCTGGGAAGTGATGAGATAATGGTGACAGGCAAAATCTAATGGTTGTCAGGGATTGCAGATTGATACATGAATTAATTTAATTAATCTTACAGAATTACCACTGACATATCTGGATTTCTAGAAACAGTAATGCATTTACATCAACTTAATTTCCCTTTGGGATCAATATCTGTCTGTCTGTCTATCGGTCTGTCTGTCTGTCTGTCTGTTTGTCTGTCTATCTGTCTGTCTGTCTATGTGTCTATCTGTCTATCTGTCTATCTGTCTGTCTGTCTATCTGTCTATCTGTCGGTGTGTCTGTTTGTCTGTTTGTCTGTTTGTCTGTCTATCTAATCTATCTGTCTGTCTGTCTGTCTGTTTGTCTGTCTATCTAATCTATCTGTCTGTCTGTCTGTCTGTCTATTTGTCCGTCCACCTGTCAGTCCATCCGTCTGTCCGTCCATCCATCCATCCATCCATCCACCCACCTATATATCTATCTGTCTGTCTACTAGGAGATGTTGGGGTGAGACAACACCTCTGGGTAAAAAATATTTACATTTAAGCTTTTACATCATTAAAGAGTGGTGAGAGTAAACATAGTTGTGAATTCAATGTGCACCCAGCAGGGGGTGCTATTATCACAGTTTGAATTGCTGTTGAATGAATTGAATGTGCTGTTTTGTGTAAATGTAGTCTTTTCTGTGCATAAAGTTATCATGTACAATGCAAGTACTTTGTTAATTGTTAATTACTGTTCTGAGAAAAAAAGTAAGTGCTGATCAGGCACTGATCTGTAGGGCTACACTCCTGCAATTTGTTGTGACTAAATTTTGCATTTAGAATTTATTAAGTCTACAATTCAGTCTCCTGGTCGGACCCTGATCTGGCCCCTTCTGAAAAACACAATCAGTACAGGGTGTAGTAAACTTATGACTGTCAGTACCCTTCACTCTGACGGAACAGCCTTCAGATAGAATAGATACTGGCAAGCACTGGTTTTTGTCTTTGGTTTGTTTGTTATTCATTTTTTGAAGTTCAGTTTTGTCCAACAGGTGGACATGGACAGATGTAGTTGGACTGATTTATGGAAGCAGATATTTCTTGAGCGGTCTTTACTTGACATGTGTTTCTGTGTAGTAGGGAACTGGCAGTAGAAATGTTCTGACATGGTCCCTTTCTTTTCCCTTACACAACAGTTACTGTGTTTACCTGCGGCTGAAACAGATCAGTGCAGCCTGTAAAGTCAAACTGTGGAGCGCCGCGCTGGTGAGAGAGAAGCTGGTCTGTGCCGAGTGTCAGAGTGACGCCATGTCAAAGTCAGATCGATGTGGAGGTGACGGCCTGGAGGGAACCAGGTAAATAAGACCATGAAACAAACTGATGAAGTGGTCACCTGATGTCTGTGTAGATGTAGTCAATATAATGTAGAAAAATAAGCTCCTGGTAAATGGGTTGATATAATGTATGCATGTTTCCTGAGTAGAAAAATAAAATAAAATAAAATAAAATAAAATAAAATAAAATAAAATAAAATAAAATAAAATAAAATAAAATAAAATAAAATAAAATAAAATAAAATAAAATAAAATAAAATAAAATAAAAATAATTTCTACCAGAAAAAAGATAAAATGGAGGAATGTATACAGTTATTAATATATTAAAACTACATAATCATGTAGACAACATGGTGAAATGGAACACAGTGATTCGCTGTGACAACTCCTGAACAAAAGGGACAACGCCGAAAGGAAAAGAAAAAGAAGAATCATGTATTAAACCCAGTATTTTTTATGTTATATACTGTATGTTCCACTAATACATATAAATAAATAGTTTTTTATATGTGATGCAATAAATACCAGTAAAATCAAGCAACACAATAAACATTTCAACTTTTTTTTCTTCTTCTCTCTGATTCTGTCTGTTTTGTTTGTGACAGAACCTTCTGGTCAGCGGCTTCCCTTCCTGGCTGTCACGGTTCTTGGGTACGAGAGTCATCTTTGAAGAGCTGCCACTGTCCTCCTTACTCTGTGCTCTTCGTGTGAGCTCATACAGGAACCTCAGACACCTGTATAGAGAGACACTCCCCTCCACTCCCCCCCCAGCTCACTGTGGAGTCAAACCAGAATCCTTCCGATCTGGATTTCTGGATGGCATCTCAAAGAGATCATCAGCATATCCTGCCATCTGTCCTTATTCCCTTCATACTCTGTAGTATCTAATCTGTTACCAAGCACACACCTTTTATGATTTCAAATATCTCTCATTCTAAAACACAGCATCTTGTATATCTATTTACCTCCTTTAATTCTTCTCTTTGCTATCTACCTCCAACAATGCAAGAGCATTGGTTAATGCTCAATGTGTAATATATAAATATATATTATTTTGCTTTATACAATAATAACTTTAATTCTTTTTTGTAATATATATATACTGTATCTATCTATCTATCTATATATATATATATATACTGTACTGTACTGTACTGTAATTGTCTTTCACCTAAAGGACCAATCAGGAGACACTTCTCAGTTCTGTCTCAGTTCTGCAGCTCAGACCGTTAGCATTTGTATTCACAGCAACGATCACATATTAATTTTCAGGAGTTAGATGTGTGTCTGCCCACGGAAAAAAAAAAAAAAAAAGAAATCTACCATTATACACGGCAGCACGTGTATCGATAGTCGCTGTCAGTCAAACTGATCGCTTGTTTCTTTTCAATCTGGCACAGAATAGTGACGGCTGTCTCACTTCTATGTCGATGTGACATCACTGTTAAGATTGAGGTTGATTTGACGTATCTGATTTACTGGTGGAATATTGTGAACTTTTCTTTGTTCGTCAAAGCGTGACAGGCAGAACAATTGAATATTCTTCCGCTAGGGGGCAGCAGACGGCTCTGAAAACTAAAAAAAGAAGAAAAAATAACAGAACTGTTGAAGATCTTTGTGAGTGTCTTTCTTCAATTCCTGGAAATATATCAGCGTTGTCTTCAACTAAACAGGCTGAGTGAGTAAATTCGAGATAAAAGATTTTTATATTTTATCACATATACTTTTTAAGAGAATTTTTTGGTGGTGTGCTGTGCATTCCATTTTCTAATGGAAAATATGTGCTGTGGCTCAAAAAGGCTTGGGAAACAGAGGCGTGGGTTTTTCTCAATCTCTATGACACTGATATTTTAGGCATATTAAGATCCATGTTTTCTGCCTTCAACTAACACATCTTTTTGATTGATGTTGAATATATTGGCTCAGTCACGTATTTTAAAAATGACAATTCCCTTTAGAGGTAACTAGACAGTAAAGCATGGTAGTTGATACAGAACACCTAATTGGTAGCTGCAACCGTCCACCAAGTTTCCTCTGAATGTCTGTGAACCTTGGGTTTAAACAAAAAGCTAAAATGGAGTTGGTCCTGAAATGGTGCTGTGTGCTGCAGCTAGGTGGCTCTGTCCATTTCTTACATACGATCACACACACATATTATTTTGCATAACAATGAGAGCCAAGACAATTTTGTTTTTTTAATCAGTGTATTACATCATTATCTGTGTTCACTTTATACCAGGGGTGTCAAACTTATTTTGCTTGTGGGGCCACATTCGGCATAATTAGTGGGCCAGACCTGTACAATCATCACTTAATTACCCACAAATAACAATAAGCCCATGTTTTTACCCCCTTTTATGTAAAGAAGTACATGTGTACTAGATAAATCATCATATTGAATGAATTATAATTTGACAAAACATCATTAACATGTAGTGTTTATGCTTTTGTTCACTTTTAAAATTCAATAAAGCGCGTCTGAGCAAACCGCCTAGCGCATTGTCTCCCAAAGACTGGGTCGGGACCCGCAGGTGGGTCACAAGTGATTTTTTTTTTGGGGGGGTGTCGTCTCACATCATGTTTTCCAGGAGTTTAGGAATGATGTCTATTGACTCTATTCACTATTGGGTCGTGAAGTTTTGTGGGTCCACAGAAAAAAAGTTTGGGAAACATTGCCCTAGCCCGCGGGCCATATGTTTGACACACCTGCTTTATATTTAGGCTTTTTTTTTTTATTTTAATTCTTGCAGTTGTCCAGGTTGTTTTAGCAGCACATCCTGGAACACAGTCATAACAAACAGCTGGGCTGCTCCCTCCACTGAGGAGGTTTCCTCCCATTTCATACCACAGCTTCTTAATTTGCACTTCCTCTCCTTCTCTGTCAATACTTTCATGAAAACATCATCTTTACAGCGGGTTTACAAGAAAACTCTGTGTCAATCCCTGTAAAGACTTTTTTCTCCTAATGAACACCTGTGTACCTGTGTTTGTGTTTATTTATTATACAACAAGTGATGATTTTTATTAGTGCAGCTCATCATAATTGTCCTTTAGGAAAAAATAAAAGACTAAACTGTCATTTCTCTCTTGGTCTTGTTATATTTTTACGACGCGTTTGTTCCTCACTGCGGTCTCATTAGGAAATAGCAGATTTTCATGGACACAGACCAAACATTTGCAGCGTCTGCCCTCAGTAATGCCTGTCATTAGCTCAGCGCTATTAAAATAAATGCCTTACTTTAACCAGTGTTTACAAGCAGAAGTGCGTAGTTGAAAGACAAAAATGTTACTTACGCATGGCGTTTGCCCATTGCCCACATTCTTGACATTTTTACCTGGGGTGTTAATGGGATGACAACGAGTGGAGTGACAGCTGAGGTGTGTAATCATGTTTTTTGGGGAACATTCTCCTGAGATTTGGAGTCTCTGTTTATGATGTAACTGTTAACTGTTATGTGTTTGTGGACACACAACACAAGGTCTGAGGTGTTGGACGGTGTCAATCATGTCTAAGTACATCTTTCACTGCTGTGTGTGTGTGTGTGTGTGTGTGTGTGAGGTGGGCCAGGAGGTGAAACAACAGATAAAACACCTAAAGTTTTACCCTGACACGTGCCACTGAAAGGTAAAGGTAAAAAAATGGTAAAAATTTGATATGTAATTTTATATATATATATATATATATACATATATATATTTATACATACATATATACACATACATACATACATTTAAGTATATAAGTATATATTCACATGTACATGTATATATGTGCGAAAATATATTTATGTATTTATGTATATATCTACAGTATATATGCAAGTATATATGTATGTATATTTACATGTATATACTGTATATGTGTAAATATATGTGTATGTATATATATATATGGATAAAATGTCATATACCTTCTATATGTTTATTTATATACTCTCAAGCCATTGACTGTTAGAGATGACTTTTACTGCAACTTTTTTTTCTGTAACTGTTGGACTATTGCAAAACCTTTTAGTCGCATGTGACTAATAATAATGTGGTTAAAGGGCAATACTACCCCCCGGGACAGAGTGTGGAAATGTTTTCCCAAGCTTTAATGGTCACTTACTGTTCTCATAACTGATGCTTGTTCTTAAGAAAGAAATGAATCACCGTGGTTCTCACACCAATCAAACACTGAGACTGAACTCTGAGCAAATGTCCTGTAGAAAGGAGACCAATACTCAGGGATACTTTTGTGTGTATCACCTCGAGGTATTTGTTCCCCACGTCTCCCTTCCTCCCTGGTCGACTCCCTTCTCTCTCTCTCCCCTATGTCAGCACAACTCTTATTTTTTGTCAGTAGACGACAGTCAGCCTGAGAGTCCAGCTCTGTCCAAGTTGGCTTTGCTCCGCTGCTGCGCTGCTCCTGCTACTGAGTTGTTTTCCAAAGGGCAGGAAGGCCCATCTCTGGCTCAGTGCCTGATGGGCTGCGACAGCAGTGTGTTCTGGGATTAGGACTGTGAAAAAAGGGAGCATTCCAACACCCTCAGCTTTTGTTCGAGCACGGCCACTGTTTGTTTTCTGACTGTGTGGTTATTTTAAAGCACTTGCGCCCATCATAGATGAGGAAATGAGCCCATAAGTTTGTTTGTGGTTGTTGATGGAGGAGTGGTGGGGTCGAGGTCCAATGTCGCTTTGACGGCAGAAACGCAATGATTTAATAATAATCACCTTTAAAAGCGTAAGCAAACTGTTCTAGTAGAATGCTTCCATCTATCTTTAAAAAAAACAACAGGAAATTATATATTTAAAGTGAGACAAACAAACATATTTAAATTCGTAAAAATCCTCAGAAAACCTGCTAACAAAAAGTTACAACAAGTGTGTATGTCATATAATAATATATAAATGTAATAATCTTGTTGCAATTTAGTGACAATTATTTAGTGTGAAACCTGGGCCTGTTTAGTTGAACACAACGCAGATGTACTCGCATGAGTTGAAAAAAGACACACATAAAGGTCACCTTCGTTACACTTGTGTCGCTCTATAATTTCTTTTGACATTTTTATTTAGTGGTGTGAGGTGGAAATGTAAAATATGTGCATGTTTATTCATAAATAAAACATCTGAAAAACTGAAAATATGAAACTAGAGGGGGCTCTCTCTCTCTACCCTCTCTCTCGCTATCCCTCTCTCTCTCTCTGTCTTTCTCTGTCTTTCTCCCTCTCTCTTTCTCTTTCTCTCTCTCTCGCTCTTGCTCTCTCTCTCACTATCTTTCTCTCTACCCCCTCTCTCTATCCCTCTCTCTTTCTCTCTCGCTCCCTCTCTCTGTCTCTCTCTCTCTTTCTCTCCCCCTCTCTCCTCTCTCTCTCTTTCTCTCTCTCTATAACTCTCTCCTCTCTCTCTCTCTTTCTCCCTCTCTATCACTCTCTCTTTCTCTCTCCCTCCCTTTCTCTCCCTTTCTCTTTCCTTCCCTCTCTCACTCGCTCACGCCCTCTCTCTCCTCTCTCTTTGCCTCTCTCGTTCCCTCTCTCCTACTGTCTCTCTCCCCTCTCTCTCCCTCTTGCTCTCTCTCTCTGACTCTCTTTCTCTCTCCCTCTCTCCTTCTCTCTGTCTCTGTGTGTCTCTCTCTCTCTCCCTCTTGCTCTGTCTCTCTATCACTCTCTCTGTCTCTCTATCACTCTCTCTTTCTCTCTCCCTCCCTTTCTCTCCCTCTCTCTTTCCTTCTCTCTCTCACTCGCTCACGCCGTCTCTCTCCTCTCTCTTTGCCTCTCTCGTTCCCTCTCTCCTACTGTCTCTCTCCCCTCTCTCTCCCTCTTGCTCTCTCTCTCTGACTCTCTTTCTCTCTCCCTCTCTCCTTCTCTCTGTCTCTGTGTGTCTCTCTCTCTCTCCCTCTTGCTCTGTCTCTCTATCACTCTCTCTGTCTCTCTATCACTCTCTCTTTCTCTCTCCCTCCCTTTCTCTCCCTCTCTCTTTCCTTCTCTCTCTCACTCGCTCACGCCGTCTCTCTCCTCTCTCTTTGCCTCTCTCGTTCCCTCTCCTTTCCCTCTCTCCTTCCCTCTGTCTCTGTGTCTCTCTCTCTCTCTCCCTCTTGCTCTGTCTCTCTATCACTCTCTCTGTCTCTCTATTACTCTCTCTTTCTCTCCCCCCTCCCCCCCGTTCTCAGCTTGGGGCTCCCTGGAGCTTGTATGTCTGTTTGTCCTCTCTCTCTCTCTACAGTGTTATGTTTGAAGCCTGAGTGTTTGAGTGTTTTCAGAAGGTGTGTACTATAATCAACAGGTCATCCTAATGAAGGCCTGTTGCCTGTTGTGTAAGAGCAGCTGGTCCAGCTCAGAGGAATGATAATGAGTAGAGACTCAGACCTGTGCTACACAAGCTTCACAGCTGGTACATGACATGGCCAGTACCATAAAATTTGACTCAACCGTTACATCATAATTATTTTTAGAAGAAAACTGACAATTAATGCTTGTAAACATTATGACATAATATGTTGCACACAACATGAGGAGATGCATGTGTATTTGAGTTTAGTCTGAAAAACAAGCCAAGGTAGGCATCACATAATTCTATTAAAGATAAAAATAAATTCCAACAACACATTTGAAAAAAAAAAAGAGTTGAGGCTCCTCCTAGTGGTTACTGATTCGGGGAGAAAGAAAAGTCATAGCAAAGACTCTGTCAACAATTACTTTATTAGCATCAGTGCTAATGATTCAAAATATTAACACGAACTTTGCGTGATAGTGATACAAATAAACGAGGTAGTACAAACATAATCTTATTCACGTTTACAACTTTTTTTGGTTACTTTTATGTTGCTTTGTTTGTTTTTGATTTGTGGAAGTTTTTGTTGCATTTTTTCAAGATTCAGTGCAGATCCAGGGAGGCTACCTGCTTGATCCTGCCAGTAACATATGCTTGTCTCAAAGAATAAGGCATGCAAGTCTAAATACACCTGCTATAAATATCGCCTAGTTAAAATATTAAATTGCCTCACACAAAAATCGGATAATAAATATGTACCACTGCTATAATAACTATGAAAATTAAACCCGTATGACTTACAAATTGAACAAACTGCAGATGAAAAGTGGTTACCACATAATTGATGGCGAACGCACTCTGAGGACTTTGGCGCCCCCTGTTGTACCATTGACTTACTGCTTATAAAAACTTTTTGTTTTTACTTTTTGCATTAGACAGAAGGCGGAGCTGGAGGTGGCAGAGTTAAAGATGCTAAGATTCTCTTTAGGAGTGACAAAAATGGACAGGATCAGGAATGAGGTCATTAGAGGGACAACACAGACAGGAAGGTTTGGAGAAAAAGCTAGAGAAGCCAGATTGAGATGGTTTGGACATGTGCAGAGGAGGGACAGTGGATACATTAGTAGAAGAATGTTAGAGATGGAGCTACCAGGTAGGAGAAAGAGAGGAAGACCAAAGAGGAGATATATGGATGCAGTGAGGGAGGACATGCAGGTAGTTGGAGTCAGAGTAGAAGATACAGAGAACAGGGAGAGATGGAAATCAATGATTTGCTGTGGCAAACACTGAAAAAAGGGACAAAGTCGAAAGAAAAATACTTTTTCCATTAGATTTGATGTAATAGAAAAGGTACAATGACAGTGACCATGGAAGCATGATATGTTTTATTAATGAATCCTTGGTTATTTTTTCACAATCAACACTTTAATGAGAAAGAAAAGTTAATGAAAAGTTCTGTTAGGCAACTGGACGTGAATTTTCTAAAAGAAGACATTTCACCTCTCATCCAAGAGGCTTCCTTAGTTCTAACTGGTGGTCATTTCCCCGCAAAAATCTAGGTAGGAACTGTGGTTATAGACTTGATCACATTTTGTATATTTAAACATACCATCACAGTCTGTAGCAATCACTATACCAAACAGCATACATTAACCACAACTGAATAGAACAAAAGGTCAACAAAGAGCCTGAGAAAAACAAACAAACACACACTTAAGAAGTTTGAGCCATGAAGCATGATCATGAGATGAACTGAGCAATGAAAGGCAATTGTGGCTCGAGCAACACATACTGTCTAAAGCACCATTCTACATTGAAATGCAGTTGAAGGTCCACAATAGAAAATTTGTTAAAGCCCAAACTTGAAACATCAGGGAGATTTCACTGACACAGTAGTGGATGACAGCTTCGTGGGGATAAAAAGTCAGATTCCAACCTCCAATAAAACAGTGACAATCAATTGAATACACTGGAAAGTGTTCTCTATAAAGCCTACTCACTGTGCGCAAAGTACATAAAATAACTTTTAGTTTAAATCATATTTGAAAAGTGATTTCAAATTTGAGTCAACAATTTAACACTAAGTATTTCATTCATATCCCATTTCATAATAACAACAAAAAAAGAACACATGCTTGATAAAGGCCTTGGATGGAAGAGACATGAGAGCGGACCGATCTGTTTGTCTCTGTCTCTCTGTCAAGTGTGTTCATTTTTTTTTTCATTTGAGTTTTTTTATCTGTTGGTTTGTGTTGTGAATCTTCATATCCATTTTGTCCACTCTGTTCAGCAGAGAGTCGATGGAGTCGTCCTGGGCCTCGATCTCAGACTGGAGACCAAGTCCCAGGTTCTTCAGTCTTTTCAGGCCGTCCGACATGTCATCTATGATTAAAAAAAAAACAGCCACTGTGAGTTCACCTGTATGACACCTTTGACATGTTACATCTTAATAATACACATGTTTGTGATCTGCTTGTTTTTACCTAGATTATTGTCCAGGGTCTGGTGAGCCTCCTTGAGGTGTTTGTTCTTAGAAAATCCATTCTGCCTGGATGAGCCATCATCCATTGACGTAGCACCTCCAAATCCTGGGGAAAAAAAACATTAAAAAACAAAAGTTAATGTAGAATATATGTACAACACATTATGATATTCTTTTGCCAAACTGTTACCTTCTGTGTTAATCCTTCTTAGGTTGGGGTGACTAGCTTGGTATTTATCTTCATACTCTCTGCTGCCGGACATGGCACTTTGTAATCTGGACAGAAACAAAAAACCTTCTTACAACTGTGTATCAAAGGACCCAACAAATGTTTAAACTGCTGACAGAAAACATGTCCACCAATCAGTAACACCTCTGATAGTGTATCTGTGTCCAAACCTTTGGTCGATATATAAACAAAATTGAATATAGATGGAATACAAGTATAGCCGTTACTTTTCCGAGGCCTGGTAGGCCTTGGGTTCCTCAGGTGGTGGCTTTGTCTCTGGTTTGCCTTTGAAGTAATTGACGAGGCCGCCCCACACACTCTTGATGCTGCTAATGTGCCTTTGGCTGGTTTTCAGGTCTTGATCCATGTTGTCCATCATCTTGTCAGTTCTCTTCAGAACCTCACCCTGTCGCACCAGCTCCTACAGAGTCAAACAGAGGAAGTGTGCGTGTGTGTGTGTGTGTGTGTGTGTGAGAGGGGAGGGGTGTGATGTAGGAATTTTATTGTCACACTCTGACAATTCAACCTTTTGTGTTGAGCAGAGCTATTTAGCTTGACATACCTCTGCAGTTTCCACACCCATCTTCTCAGATTCATAGATGAGGCCCATGGAGCGGTAACTGCTGTCGACAGCAGACTGAGCAGTACGTATCACTTCCCGTTGGAGGTAGCGCTGCCTCTTTTCCGCATCAGTTAATCCATCATCACTATCATCATCGTTGTTGTCACCAAAACCCCTACTTTTAGGCTTAAAGTCTTCATCGTCATCATCGGCAAAGGGGTTATGGGATTTAGGGTAGGCCATCTATAGAGGAGACCAGTTAATTTATAGTTGTTAATTTGAAAAGCAACCGTAACTAAAGTTAGTTTGTTAGCCTAGCAGTGCTTTTGATATTAATTAGCCAGTAATTAATCATGTTTTTCTTTGGTGGATGTGGGTGGTGTGTTACTGTTTTTTTTAGAATATATTTTTTTTCTAAAATTTCATTGACAACTTTGGGACAATCAAAGGATTCAAAGGTCTTAAATGTCTTCCCAGAGAACATGGACAGATGCATGGACACACTTTGGACAAACTATTTTGACAGTGACAAACATATCACTGACTGTCAATTTTAGCTTTACATGTTTTTGTACTGTTGAAAAACATCAGTATACTTCAACAATCAACAAATACAAATGAAGACAGTGACACTTTAGAATGAAAAAGTAATGGTTCGAAATATCCCAGAAACTACTAATGGGTTTAGCTAAAAGGAATTTATTTAATGCGAGTCCAAGACTGAATAATGCATGCACTAATTTCTGTCGCAACACTCTCATTCACTTATAATGCATTAAACAAATGTCATTGATAACTTTTGAATACCAGCACTCAGCAAAAACAGATGATTCCCTTACATTAAGGTGAAGTTACTTATATACAAAGCCTGTGGAATTGTGACAATATTTAGAATTGTTACGTACTTTAACGATGAGTTAATGTAGCCTTAGTTTAGTATCGTAGACAATAATAGTGAAGAATAACACAGTATAATTCCCAGCGTATAAGGTAGCGACTGGGTGTTGTCTTGCGGGCTAATTGTCAGGGACTGGTTGCCAAAGCTGCCACATCTACAAAGTCATATTTGTGCTACGACGAATGGCGTTTTAAAAATGTTACGTATGAAACCAAACTGATCAAAAATTGGTACAAAAGAGTTGTTGAACGAACCTTTAAGCGCCGCAGCGAGAGACGACGTTATTTTTCAGATGACCGAGTGACTTCCGATCACACTAGGTGACGTCAGCACATACATTCCACGACGGCCCCTACTGCGCAACAAATGCGCAGGTTTAACACGTCTTGCGTTATCATTTGCACGTCATTAGAGCTTCTGATGAGTGAACCTCCATTTAAGTAAAATTAAGCGATCTATCGTTGGAGTATAAAATTATTTAAGTTGGATTTAACAGTGAAATTAATCTTAACCAAATTACTTCTGACAACAATTAGTAAAATTAATACTATCGTGTAAATCTTTGCCTGTTTTATATGATATGGATTCCTATGATATGGACTTCTTAAAGAAAAAGGTGTAAAGAGGGAGAAACCATTTGTTTTTAACCATGTAAAACACTAAAGCGACAGTTACCTGTTCTGAATACTTAACTATGACTAAGTATAGTAAAAGTATAACTATAAATAATTAACACACAAGTGCACACAATAGTACAGTCCACAAGATTTATTTATGTACAAACAAGGACTTTACTTAATAGCTAAGCTAAACAAAATAACGCCACTTTCGCAGGGTAGGTTAAAAATCAGTCTTTGTCTTTTTAAAGTTAGGCAACATAAGCAATAGAGCAGAATACTCATGTCTTTTTGTTCAATAAATAATGATTGGGTAAAATAATGAAGACTTTATAACAAATTTAATCGTTGGTCTCTATCATCTATCATGTTATAATTAAAGTCAAACGAATAGGTTACATTTAGCCTGAAGTGTCTTTTTGCTGTGTATGGCATGTGACCATAAACATCCCGAATATTAAATAATAAAGTCAGAACATTTTACCTTTTACTACATCACATTACCAGACATTTTGTTAAATAATGTCCCCGACAGATTCAGGAAACCTCAACATTTACCCAGTTCTTTTGATTTAACGCGCATTTGCATAAAACACCAACCAGTACCAGAGCTGGCAGCGTTAGCCTCATTTGTCCCCTCCGACTTGCCGTACTGCGGCTGTGCCAGCACCAGCTGCTGTGCTTTTCTCTCTCTCTCTCTACGGTGTTTCGCTCTTCTGATGTTCAGGTAAACATGTCGGTGATGGGAGGTGGTACCAGGGGCTTTTACTTCAACACAGTCCTGTCGCTGGCCCGTTCTTTGGCAGCCCACCGTCCCGCACCAGTGGAAAAGGTGAGTGTGGAGTTTACCCGAATGTTTTACGAAACCTGTTTTTGTTACTGAGCTAACGTGAAGCAACAGTTCATTCGGGGTGTGTGACTCCGTTTCCGCAACAGGCAGCGCTGTATTTTCAGTCACAGCCGAGCTGACATTTAACAGACGTGCAGGGCAAACTGTCGGAGACCCGCGGTTTCAGAAGAAAGATTGAAATATTAAACAAGAGAAAGTGTCGTGGCTGCGTGTGTGTGTGTCTCCTGCTACTGCATCACACACACGCACACGCACACGCACACACACAGAGTGGTCAGACTCGATCAGCACTGCAGTCGAACAGGTTCACATAAAGTCAAGAGTCGCAGAAACGACGCATCTCTGTCATTACATGGCATTACATTTAGCAGACGCTTTTAGTGTTGCATACTACTGTTTCTGATGACGTATTTTTTATAACATTTTCTGAATGATGTAGTTAAATGTTGTCGAAACTAAGGCTTCGTGTCTGATTAGAATATTGATTTTGGTGGGTTGTTGTTCTTATTGATTTACAATGCTTTAATTTTAGAAAATTGTAGCCACACAGTGTGACCCAGTCCTCCAACGAATGTATCATATTTACTGTTATTGAGTGGTGACACATATTTACATTTTTTTAAAGAATGTAAATGTATTTTTTCTCATGTAAAGAGGTGTTTTTTTTAACTTATTCAGTGAAATACTTTTACTTACTTACTTTTACTTTTATAGTAAATCTTTCAGAACTGTTTTGTAGAAATTCAGAATTAGCCCGTTTGTATTTACCTCAGAAACAGACATTGTTATGTTTGAGTTCTCGGTGTTTAATTCAAGTCCCAGTCCAAGTCACCAAGCGAAGATTTAACTGGTGTGTCAATGTTTCAATTTTATCATACATTATTTATCCTATAAATGGTGTCCCTGTGCTCTTTTAGGTCCAGAAACTACAATGTATGTGTCCACTGGAAGTCCGTGGTGTGTTTACTCTGGACATGCGTCGCAGAGATGCTGTTATTGCACTGGCCGTGTTTCTGGTGGAGTCTGGCCTTCAGGTGTTAAGTGTTACAACATTTTTTTTTTCTATAAAGCATTCTATTCTCCACAGCCCATTGTTTTGTGAGTCACCTGTTGTTACAACTCCTCACATGGTGCCACATAAATAATCCCACATGATAAACCTAATCTCCCTGTTCCTATAATCTGATTAAAGTGGTCATTAGGCACGCAGATGCCAAGTAAAGCCTCTAAACTCATGATGCTGATTGAAGAACTGTGTTAAGGCTTAAACTGTGCTACATTACCTTGTTGTGTTAGCAGCTAAATGTTAAAAAAAAGGTAAATTAAAGTAAAGTTATTTTTTGGAAATGTAATTTTGAGACATTACACTGTGTTACTAACTGTTTTTGTTCATGCCACTTGCTTCTACTCTGGCAGCACAAAGACATATTTGTCCCTTACTTGCTGAGCCTGATGAAAGGACTACCACGGGTCCAGTGGATCGAAGAGAACTCGGGAAAGAAAGGAAATGGTCAGAACAATCCTCTTAAAGTCGGGGCTCTTTTGTTGAACAGTGATTGCTTTTCATTCACGGCGTAATTTAGAATTATTAACAATAAATTAACAATCAATGCAACATAGTAGACAGTAAAATATAAAACAATACATTTTTAACTTGGCATACAGTAGATTACAGTGGAACCTCGAGGTACGAGCATAATCCGTTCCAGGACTGAGCTCGTAACTCGAATTATGTTTTCCCATAAGAAATAATAGAAAAAAAAGATTAATTTGTTCCATTCCTCTAAAAAACTCCCTCATTAGTGCTAATAACAATGGAAAAAACATGTTTTTAATTGCTATAGAAAAATACACACAAAAAAGATAGTATATAGGGGAGGAGGAGGAGGAGGAAGGGAGGGAAGAGAGTTGGACCGTACGTAGACACTTGATTCTGTACCATTCCTTATACGTACACTATGTAACTTAAGTACATAAACTTGAATTAACTTAACTTTTTTTTGTTGTTGTTGTTTTTTTCGATTTGTATTTTTTCTTTACGGTCATATTTATCGACAATTTCCTACTTTATTTCCATGGTCATCATGCATTTCTTCTTCTCACCATCATCCTTACCACTCACTCTCTTAGGACTCATCACTATGATGAAGAATAATGCACAAAATAGAGAGACAATTACGTAGATAACGAGTGAAGTGGGCTGCTCCAAGTGCTTGGCCACCTAGTGTCAGCATCTGTAAGCGTGCTCGTATCTGAAATCTCTACTCGTTTCTCAAAGCAGAAATTTGCTCAAAGGCTTGCTTATATGTCGAGGAGCTCGTATCTCGAGCTTTCACTGTTTATAAAATATATTTGGCAGTATCCCATAAATAAGATCCTAAAAAACATTTGTAAGAAAATAGAAAATCCTCCTCAAAGTACTACATACAGATCTGCTCTGTTAATTGAGTTAATATTTCAGCACACTTGTATGTGCTCTCTGTGTCGTCTAACTGCTGTCATTTTCTGTGTCTCAGAATTTCTCCCAGTGGCCGAAACATTCAGCTTCTGTCTAGTGACACTTCTGTCAGACGTGGCTCAGAGGGACCCAGACTCTCGACTGGAGGTCGGCCTGTTATGATGTTAATCATTTTGTCAAGAGTTAAATGAGTGAAGAGCTAAGATATTGTGTCTAATATTTTCACCTCAGATTTTAAACACTATCATGGAGGTCATGCAGGTGCTGCTGGAGATGTGCCAGACACCTGATAATCAGGAACAAGGTACAGACACTCATGCTCCAGGCAGCAATGCAGAATCATTTTAAAATTCACAAATGCTCTTTTGTGTGTGTCAAGTTTATCTTTGCAGATATATCATCCCCAGCCTGCTTGGCATAACTCGAGCATTTGGCCGCTACAGCAACACAGACGAGGCGCTGCTGTCCAAGTTGTTCCCCAAGGATTCTCCGCAGTCACGCTGCGTCACAGAGGAGGCGGAGGGGGTGCGGCGCAGGTCCTTCAATGACTTTCGTTCCATCCTTCCATCGTCACTGATCACCGTGTGCCAGAATGACACTCTGCGAAGACGCACGGGGACCAACCTGGATCCTTCTGCACTGGTGTGTGACACAGCAGTGAGCACCCAGGATATAATCCCACTGTCTTTGTGACCTTTTCAGACACTAAACATAATCCCTTGTTATGTGCTCTGTTACAGGCATGTGCAGATGCTGGTGGAAACTCACCCTGCTCCCCCACTACTCCTGGCCCACATTACTTTGAAGGTAAAATGGAAATAATCAACATCATCAACTGGTTTGATTAAAATGAATGTCAGTTCAACAATGTTGATAATAATCAATAGGATGGTGTGTGTAGCAGATATTTAAGGTTGGGTGAAAAGGTAGTTTGTGTTTCTCTGTTTAGTACTGTTTTTACTGCAGTGCTAACATTTGCATCATCTGATGTTTGTTTTAATGTCAGTGCAATAGAGCAGCCACTGCTTCATTTCAGGGCTTGTTTTGTTTGGCCACGAAGGTAGAGAAAATGTTCAGGTTGACAAAAGAATAATTAATATTCTGAAAATATAAATTAATGTTAAAAAAAAATCCCAGGAAGCCTTTATCGAAAAAATAACTATCCATTTAAATAATGAGTTTATCATTTAAAATCAGTGTTTCCCAAACTTTTTTTCTGGGGACCTGTATTTTTAAATCTCACAAACCTTCGTGACCCAAATCAATAAACATTATTTGTAAACTCCTGGGAAACATGATGCGAGACGACTCCCCCCAAAAAATATCTTGCGACCCACCTTACGACCTAGTCTTTGGGGAAATGAATGATTTAAATAATGTTTTTCAATTATTTGGCCTAAAATTGTTTCCTTGCTGAATATTTCTTACACCTGTGTAATACAAAAAAAAAAATCATTCTTGATATTGTGTTTCTCTGTGATACATTTACAACATTGTTAGGTTCTGTATCTGCAGTGAATTATTTGTACATGGAAACCTTCGCATAATATTGTGGCATATTGTTATTCCGTTTTGCTTTCTTACACTATTTTTATACTTATATAACATTCCTGAAATAACTGCGGTTCTCTGCCTCCTGCCAAGATTTCATTGTCTGTGTTGCAATATGAATTTTTATGATGAATTCTAGCTCTTTTTTTTAGCTAACTTGCCTCAACCAGTTAATGATTTCACTCTTGAACAGTATATTCATATAAAGCCCAGAGCTGCAACACTGTTCTATTTGACTGATCAGGATAATGATGACACATTCCCTCCTGGTTTCAGGTGCTTACCTTCCAGATAGCAGTGCAGTGGACCCTGACTACTATTTCTCTACAGTCAGCTCCAGTTTTTCAGTGTCTCCTCTCTTCATGGGGCCTGGAGAAAATGAGGTGGAGGTTCCTGTTGAGCTGCTGCGACACCTCCTGGGAATGGTACAGCCATAATGTTTTGTTTCTATTGTTGTTGTTTTTTAATGTACTGTTCCATACTTCCATTCACTGTGTCTTGTGGATTCACAGGTGAAGATCTTCGTTTCTGAATCTTTTTTGAAGTCTCTTGATAGCTCTGTGTTGGAAGTTACAGAGGTAAAAATAAAAACGATGATCAAGTCAGATTTGATTGGATGATTTCTGTTTTCAGTCAATTCATCTCCTTTGTCATTGTCTCTTTCGTGTGTTGTTCAGTCTAACCCTGGAGTCAACCTCTATTACAAAGCCTTCAGTGACCCTCTCTATGTGTGCGTGTTCAAAATGCTGCGGGACACACTGTACTACATGAAAGGTAAAGTGTTCTAGAGTAAAGTTTTTGTGTGAATTTCTCTTTTTTTGTGGTGTTTTCTGCTGTCAAATGTTCACATTTCTGTCACATCCCTCAGCCTTGCAGCCAGCTTTTGTTCGAGAGGTACACGATTTTGTACTGGAACAATTTAGCAGCAGCCAGTCGGAGCTGCAGCGGGTGCTCCATGATGCAGGGGGGTTGCCAGGGGAACAGAGCCCTCTTAAGCTCCGTTGCCAAGCCAATGCGGCATGTGTGGACCTGATGGTGTGGGCCGTCAAAGATGAACAAGGTAATCAGTAGTGATGAGCAGTGTTTTCATGTTTCACACTGAGAACAACAGCATTAATAACTACAATCATTTTATTATTATACTTGGAATAAATTGAAGAATTTCTTGATCTTCATTCTTTTCCTCACTGTATGTTTCCTTTGAAGGAGCGGAGAATTTGTGCACCAAACTGTCAGAAAAACTTCAGTCAAAAACCTCCAGTAAAGTCATCATCGCTCATATGCCCCTACTCATCTGTTGTCTGCAGGTACAGTGCAACACCACAGCGTGGCACACCTGCTGAGATTTCAAAAACAAAAAAAATTTAGATTTTAAGTGTCTGTTTATTTATTTATAATTTTTTCTTGCGTTATCTTTTGCTCCGTTCTAGGGCCTGGGTCGTCTGTGCGAGAGGTTTCCTGTCGTGGCTCACTCCGCCACCACCTGCCTCAAGGACTTCCTGGTGGTTCCTTCGCCTGTTCTCATCAAACTCTACAAGTATCACAGCCAGTACAGTACAGGTGCGAGTCATTTCATCACTCTTTCCCTCAAATAAGGGTTTTCAGAATGTTTTAAGTAAATGTTTTAAATCGTACGTGTCAAACTCAAGGCCCGGGCACTAAATGCGGCCCGCCAAGCCCTGTTGTGTGGCCCACATGAGCTTAAAAAGCATTTAATAAAGTCCATGCAGCGGAGTTTCTTAGCTTAAGAAATTACTTTTTTTTTATTAGACAGCAATGAACAATATTTGTAGCTTGAATAAATAATAATCAATTGCAGAAACATGTATCAGTCTGTTATGGAGTAGTTACATCTATACCAGTGGTCCCTGACCTTCTTTGTTCCAAGGACTGGTCAGCCAGTACCACCTGTTACTACAGACTGGTACCAAGGTACTGAGGATTGAAGAATCATTAAATTTTCAAAATAAAACATCTACTAGACTCTATTCTGTTTGTATCAGAGTCTGAATGACCTGTTATTTTTAAAATATTGCCAGATTAGCTTCAAATAAAGGGAAATGGTAAATGGATAAGACAGGTTTTTCTTTGAATGAAGTAAATTAGTAAAAATTAAGTACATTTTTTCACTGTGTCCCACTGTGGCCCTGGTATGGACTGGGAAGGACCTATGGACTGGTACTTGTCTGTAGACCAGGGGCTGGGGACCCCTGATTTATACAGTCTTTCATTTACAACCGGCCCTTAAAAGGGAACTGTATTGCTGACCCCTGTTTTATATAATACACCTCTGTTAAAATCACTTCAAATTTCAAAGGTTTACAACCGATAGCCAGTTTATATGAATTGCTCAAATGTAACTTGGGTGAATTTTATAGTCGTCCACTCATTCGGTTGCCTGTTTTCCCAAACGTGTTGTGACTGTTGTATAATCGGCTCCAGTCTGTCGACGGTGTCATCTCTTTAATATGTGAGTTATTTTTAGAACTTAAAATTGTCCTCAGGGCAACTGTGTTGGAGGAACAATGTT